TGTTTACCAAACCTCTGCACAGTCCTAGGTTTCAGGGTCATTGTCAAGCTAGGCATGACGGATATCTACAAACCTAGCTTGAGGGGGGATGTTGATAAAACGAAGAGACATCATTAATCTAGGATTTATTTTTCTTATTATTACTGTAATTATGTGTCTTTAGTGCTTCAGGTTGTATTTAATAGTTGTTGTCTTTTCAGTTCTCAATCATTTATGTTTAGTATTTAGACAGTACCCTATCACCTAGGGTACTGAATAGACTCTCTTAGGATTCCTATCTGTATAAATAGCTTATGTGCTTCTTGTAAATGAATTGATGGAAATAATACTCAGAAAACTTCAATATCGAATAATATTGTCAAGTATTCGGACTGATTCGACTCATTTACAACCCTAGCCGTCGCACTACCACAGACTAGCCAAGTCTTGAGCAAATTGATGATGATGGTTTCCAAGGAAAAATACATCAAAGGGGGCATGATCCAGCGGCGAACACAAGAATTCCTTGTAGGAGGGCGGTAGTGTAAAAAATACATACAAATACATATATATTAAAATTTTAGAGTAACTATACCTAGTAGGAAAAAAAATGGGGGAATGGCCTCCATTTGTGTCTGTCGTCGCCGCTAGTATGATCTCTTCTCCAACACATACAATCTAATCCAGGAAGAGGAGATCACACGTACTTGAGTTCTCATTCTAGCATGTCCACCGAAGACATGATCTGAGCTCTTATTACCAACATGATGAATATGCAGCAAAATATGGCATAATTCCAACAAAAAACATGGACAAACCTATCGGGGAATCAAGTGAGCCAAATATAAAATGTTGTGAGTCGATTGGAAGAAAAAGATTTTGGAAAACGTCCCTCTCAAATAGATCTGAATCATAAACATATCTCAAGCCTTGGGACACCCAAACGCCTTCAGAAACACCCGGCGAACGTTTTTTTTTTTTCATTTTTCTTGAGATATCCAATCGGGTAATTAGGATTCTTGATCGTTTTTTGTTGCAATGAGTCTCGTTTCCTCATTTTTATGCATACCCGGTCGAGTATCTCACATACCCGGTCGGGTATGTGCTAGAAAAGGAAAATTTTGATCTACTGGAACAAAAACCCGATCAGGTATCCTCTGGAACAAAAATGAGGAAACATGACTCTCTGGAACATGACTCTCTGGAACAAAAACCCGATCGGGTATCATAATTACACAATCGAGTATCTCAAGAAAAAGGAACAAAACACCTGCCCGGGTGTTTATAAAGGCGTTCAGGTGTCCCAAGGCTAAAAAATCATGAAACCCGACCGGGTTGGCTAAAACCTCGGTTAGGTTTACCAACATTTTTAACAAAAAGCTCCAAATACACTCATTTTTCACCTCTTTTCATCATTAATTTTCTAAACCACCATCCAACCCCACCCCAATCACCCTATAACGGCATAACCATATCCTTCTTTTTTCAGAATCTACCCAAATGGTCCAGCAAACCCAACAAAAAACATCAACATGTTGCTCCCATCACTTTTCTCTTGCTCCGCATACCCTTTAATCCATAAACTCCTGAAAAACTCTCACCCCTCTCCCGAATCCCCAACTTTATATCTTCAAAAAAACAAGTGATGGTGACGGCGAACACTAGGGACAATGTGCAAGGGGGATAACACTCTTCATCATACATACGGTATTCCTTCTACATTGTATTTTGGTTTTAAAACAAACAAAAAAACAAAAAAAAAAAGAAAAATAACAAGAAGAAATGCATGTTAGTTGAAAACTCAGAGGGGCAACCTAAAGCAACAATAGCAAAAAAAAATGAGTGAGTCAAATAAAAATGAGAGGCTAGGATGAAAACTTGAAAAGGCTCCTAAGCAAAATGAGAGAGGAAATTTTAGTTTTGCAACAATTCAGAAAAAATGAAGATCATGAAGACTCACTTTCTCTAGTGGGGATAAATTTGAATTGATAAAGAAGTTACATCTGTTTTTCTTTTACTTTCATGGACGTCTAATGAATTTGGAGGCCCCGATTATAAATGACAAATTGAGGCCCCCTAAAACAAGAAGAAATACAAAATTTAACAATAAAATACAAATAGACTAGATAGTTCAATGAAATATAATTTTTATGATATTTAAAGTACACAAATTAGAGAATATAAAAGTTGTATATCATTTGGAATCTTGAATAATGCATAACATCTAGAAAAGTCAACATATAACTAATACTTCCTCCGTTCCATAAAAGTTGCAACATTGGAATTTCTACACTATTCACACACCTTACTTTGACTGCGATTTTCTAATAATATATATAATAAAAATATTATGTATAAAATATTAATAAATTTGTATTAATGTAAATTTCCAATATATTAACTTTTTTAATGTTTACTAATACGTAAATAAATATAAATACAGTCAAAGTTGCGCGTTGGCAAACGTGAAAGTCAAACTGTTGCAACTTTTATGGAACGAAGGATAGTACTACATTCTAAATTTTTGGAGGCCCCCTAGGGCCCCTACAAGAGTGAATCCCAGTGTCGAGCACCTATTGCACCTCCTAAAAGACGGCCATGTTTACTTTATTCACACTTTGTGGATTGTGAAACATTCTACATATTTTACTCGAGGACGAGTAAAAGACTAAGTTTGGGGGAGTTAATGCATTGGTTTTTGAGTGTTTTTTTATGTTTTTACTTTTAATTAGTTTTTATGGTGTGATGTGATAATTGTGCATTTATGGTGCAACCATTGAATTTTCTAGTTTATTGTAATTTATTATAGTTTTAGAAGATCTTGAGCTTGGATAAATTAGTCTACAACAAAGGAGCATGGAAGATATCATACATGATCAAAGGAAAGTGCAAGGGAGTAAGAAATCATGTAAGCAATGTGATTTGGAGTCACACGTGATCGGGTATAATCATTACCCGGTCGGGTATGATTTGACTAGGAGATATACAAGATCATATAAAGCAAGAGAACATGAGAAAATCAGATTTGGTCATACACTTGATCGGGTATATTGACATACCCGGTCGGGTATGATTAGATTTCAGCACTTTCATAGTTACTGTCCAGGATACCTAGTCAGGTATCCTCTATACCCGATTACCCAACCTCACCAAAATACTTATAAATACGCCCAATTTCCTTTCCATTTTGATATACATTCTTCCATATACTTAAGCTCAGCCTAAAATAGTGTTTTCTTTATATTTCTTTCATGTTTACTCTCCACATGAGGAGCTAAACTCTTTTATCTTGGTTTTATTATCTTGAAGCTTGTTAAATGTTAATGTTGTAAGTTGATTTCTTAAACTTCTCCTCTTGAATATTCCCTTATTCTATCTATATATTAATATTGGGTGTCGATAAGCGACATGTAGTAAACATTTTAACATTAATTACTACTAGCAACGACCAATGAACCAGTGGTTAGTTATTGATGATTTCAAGAGTAACTTCAGGTTATTAATGCATGATCTCTCAATTAGTTGTGAAATCTCACAATTAAAGAAGGATTAATTGTGTTGGTTGAAAAGAAACCGTTATGTTGAGGTTATCAACCTCAATTGATTTCATCAAAGAGTTAAAGAGATTAAATGCTACTATCAAAACGGTATATGACGGTTTTCTATACTTGGCTAATAGTAAGGATTGTTAATGAACGGAATGCTACTATCAAATCGGAATACAACATATATCGTCGGTATATTACATAGTTCATCAATCGTCAATATGTAAGAATAAATCATTTGTGCTTCGCACGGGTATAACACCAGTAAGAAACAAAAGGGAATACTACAAGGACTAAAAAGTTCCATATTACTATCGGAGTACACCAAGGATTGGCTCTGAATCCTTTCTTATTTGCTAGTCACGAAGTCAATTCAAGAAGATATAATGTGGTACATAATGTTTGTCGGCGATATTGTGTTCATCGACGAGATAACATCGGGTGTTAAAGTGAAATTAGAAGAATGGCAACAAACTCTGGAAAACAAAAGTTTCGGGGTGAGCCGAAACAAGGCTAAGAATATGGGGTGCAAGCTAAATGGAGGTAAGAGCAATGATAACAGTGGAATTACTTTAGATGGTAAGGAGATATCAGTCAGTGATATGTTACATTACTTGAGATCCATAAGTCAGGAAGGTGAATTAGATCGAGTTTGTCCCATAGAATCCGATCATGGTGGATGAATGGAAGAGTTTGCTAGAATTTCTATGTGATCGAGCTATGTCGACTAGACGGGAGGGTAAGTTTCGGACCGCAATTAAGCCTGCATTATTGTTTAACGTAGAGTGTTCAACGGTGAAACTATGGTACATTCAAAAGATGAGTGTGGCTAACATGCACATGCTATGGTGGATGTGTGGATATACTAGAAAAGACCGCTTGAGGAATCAGACAATCAGACAAAAGATGAGAGTATCACATATAGAAGATAAGATGTGAGAGTCTCGATTGTGATGATTTTTGGCCATGGGTGTAGAAGACCGAGTGATGCACTTGTTGGACAAGTTGAGAGGTAGGAAGAAGAGGAGGGTAGAATAGGGAGTGTGACCCAAGTAGAGGTGTATTCGAGTGGTCAGGAATGATATGACCTCTTGGGTTGGACGAGAGTATGGCTTTGGAGAGAGCAAAATGGACAGAGAGTATAAATGTGGAGGATTGATCTCTTTTGATCTTCTTTAACTCCAAATTCATATATCAGTTCATGTTACCCGACCTCAAACTCTTTTGGGACTAAGGCTTGGTTGTAGTCAAATTTAGCAAGACTCTTGAAAACAGATGAAAATATTGAGATGATATATCCCTTCAGAATATATGTAATATATTCATTCTTAAGCAATATCATACCCAATAACATGCAATTGAGATGCACATGAGCAGCATATGGTAGAAAAGGAAATACCACATCACAATATTACATTTTTCTACAAACTAAACTGGTGTTGAATGCCCAAATCAAGGTAAACAAAAGTGACAAACCTGTATTTCCATCATAGTAGAACCCAGAAGCAGCATCAAAATAATAGCCAGATGCTTCGTCCCACACAAAACCGGACTGTGGGGCAGAACCATCCTCCTGATGCGCAACTTCTCCAGCCTGCTCTCGCACCACATTAGAATGCTTTTCATCTGGATTGTATTCCTTTGGTGCCCATCCAATAGCATCATACTAAAAAATAATGCAGTACTGTTGAGCAAAGTACACACAAGTAGACAAACAAAACCACTGTGCCAAATCCATCAATAGAGCTCAACGGATGGTTGTTGGAACAGAAAATGAATTTGACTTGGATACTTTCCATTTTAATGAAAGGAAGAGTATGACAGAGCAGACTACAAGTCTACAAGGATTCATTAACAGCACTTCAACAAATTAATCAGGCAACAGAGGAAGAATAAGCTGCCAAGTGTGCACTGTTAGTCTGCTACTCATTCCTATCTTGTTTATCTGGTTTACTAAGACTGAATCTCACGTTTTATATAAATTGAACCCAATACAACTTTTTGATCAGGTGAGGGAAAGTACATTGGGGATGCGAATATTAAATACTCCCTTGTTCACAAAATTAAGTTCCTACTTCGATTTTAAGTTGAAGTTCCTTAACTTTGAGTATTAATAATTCAAAAATACTTTATACCAATTTACTTAATAAGTATTATCAAAATACTACCTCCGTATTTTAAAGATTGCTACAATAAGCTTTGACACGTTATTTAAGGAGGAAATAGTATGGGTAATGAATAGTGTAGAAAAGGTATGAGAGAACGTGGAAAAGTATGAAAAAAATTAAAAAAAAGTGGGGAAAAATAAGGGTAATTGAGAATTTTTAAAGGAAAAACTTACCAAAGAGGAAAAGTGTAGCAAAAATTACAATACATCCCAAAAGGAAACTGTAGCAAACATTTAAATACGGAGGGAGTAATAATTTATTACAGAACATTTGATTTTATAAGTATATAATTATAAAAGTAATGACCAAAGCTCGCTCAGCATTGAATATCGTAAAAATCAACATTGGAATTTCATATTGGGACGGAGGAAGTAAAAAAACTAATTGATGGTTTCATTAAAATGCAGGTGCATCAATAGTTTAATTGAGTATTTAATGGGAATTGATTTCATTTTTTAGGTACAGTTCCATTTCCGAAGAGGCAGAGAGGGGCCTATTTGACCCTCTATATTTTCCATGCCACCACTACAATACCACATCAACGCAAAGTGGAACCTTCAGTTGGTTGACCGGAAAGTGACCTGCTAAATGACCTATTTGCATCATCTTCTTTTTCTGGTTGGGGTGCTTAATTGAAGCTTATTTTAGTAAACTAGTCAATGTACCTGTTGAGCGAACGCTGCTGCTTCAATTGCAGCAGCAGCAAGGGTACTAGCCTGAGAAGTTCCAGAAGCCCCTGACCCTGGACCAAGGATACTTTTTGCATAAGCAACTCTAAGAATCTGCCCATTTCTCTCTAAAGTTGTTCCATTTGTTGCTTCAAGAGCTTTAGAAGCATCCTCGACCTGGTCACAAAGAGAAGCATCATTAAAAACATCACTTTCAAAATTCTAAATACGACGCAAACAAATATCCGTCTAAAGCATAATATTCTTGTGTGGTTGTCTAACTTCTCCTTGGTACTGATTCTTGATCCTTTAGTCAAAAAGGATGAATATCTAAACAGGATATGCACATTTGACTACTAGTACAAACAATACATAACCCATGAGACACCTAATAAGATTCGTAAAATATTTAGTCTCAATGCACTTCATTCCAATGAAAGAAAAATGTGTTTGAACATTGCTGATTACCATAATACCTTGTCTCCTAAAACTAAAACTAGTAATTATCTACTAATTCATATAGGTTTAATCAGTCTTATTTTCTTTATTTCTTAACAAGTACGAATAAACAGTCAATACAAAAACTCAACACCAAACGTACCGAATAGAAGTGCACAAAAGCGAATCCCCTTGAAACGTGGGTGAACTTGTCCCTGACAAGTCGAAGATCCTGCAAGTATATAACATTATTTTCATTTAAAATGGCTAGCAAAACAGAAGCAGAAACTGACTAAAAGGCAGGTGCTAGAAATTTTGTTATACCTTGATAGGAGAGTGCTTAGAAAATTCATACCGAAGCATTTCTTCATCAGCATCTTCATCCAAGCCACGGACAACCAAAACATGGGTAGGGCCTAAAAACATATCAAGACACATTACTATACAAGTTAATGCATTAAGTAAAAATATGCTTAATCATTCAAGTCAACCTGCTTCTCCTCTCTTTGCAAGAGATGTAGGGTTTGACATTGTCATATCAGCTGGAGGAGCATCATCTGTACGTGGCTCATTACACTGTTCCATAAAGAAGCTATTTTACAGGGTAAAATATGAATGTACCTCGCAGCATAACAAGGTAACTGTCGAAAAAGAAGTATGTCAAAGGATGTTAATTGAAGCAAAATTAACCTGAAAGCAAGATGTTCTCCGTGCAAAATTTACGCATCCGCAAACAGTGCACATCCAATCAGATGCCACTGTCATTCTTCTGTGGCTACCTTGAGTGGATCTTACACTATCAATACCCAGTGGCCCATTGGACCCTCCAGTTGGTTTGCTACTGCAACAAGTAGTTTTTTGTTTATCATCTATATAATTTGAATCAATTTTAACAACACTCACAGGGATGAAGGAAACAGAAACAAACAAATTAAACTAGTAAAATTAGAAGAAAGAAATTATACACCTCTGATAAATTAGAATGCACCATGAGAAACATCGATTTTGCTAACCAAACAAAATTTAGACAATGGTTACCTGTACTCAAAAAATAGCCTCCTACCATCAACAAGAAGACCATCATCCCAAAGCTTATCCATCATTGCTTGGGCAGCACCCTGTTATATAAAACTAGAATGTAAGATACACATCTCTATGCTATAACAAGACAACAAAGCTGAAAATTATCTATGATCAATACCACAGATGGAAAATCAATAAAAGCAAAACCACGGGAGTTGCCAGAACTTCGCTCTTTAATCACACGTACGTGGCGTAGTGGTCCCCATTCAGCCTGATAAAAATAAAAATGCAGATTGTTAGAAAAGAGAAATGAAAGGCCATTTATCGAACATTCAAAGTTAGTACTCGTTATAATTGAAAATTGATGTGTGTGTGAGAGAGAGAGAGAGAGGAAGAGGAGGTTACAAGGATCTGATATAGGTCTTCTTCTGTAGTCTTATGAGAAAGACCCTTAACAACAACAGTAGCGGAAGGAGACTACAAACAAACAAAAGTGGATAATCAATATCAGCGATGAAGAATAGCAGATAAGTCTTCAAAGGAGAAAAAGCAAAAAATTGTATATTACCAATGAGTAATAGCTATCATGATGTCGTCGGTCATCAGAGTCTCTGCGCCTTTCACCTCTATCATATCGAAATTCATCATAACTATCCTCTCTATGACTACGACTATGACTTCGACTTCGAGGAGACCTTGACCTCAGGCAATCCCCACGGTCACGAGACCGTGAACGGGAATGTTCATGCCTTGAATATGCACTGTAGTCTCTTTCCCGGCTTGAGTCTCTCCGGTCATGCTCACGATCACGAGAACCACGTCGTCTCCAGTTACTATCTCTCCTACTACCTCTGTCATAGTCAGAATCATAACTATGTCTGCCATAATCATAGTCCCTTTCACGGCTGTGTTCCCTGCTTTGATGAGAAACACGATGGCGATAGTCATAATGGTCATTGGCATAATCATCTCGGTCACGTCCTCCATACCTGGCAGGCCTGTCAAATCGATGATCATGGTTGTTGTCAAAACTGTACATTAACCATTCTTGACTATGTTAATCTCATGATACTTATTGGCTCATGAAAATAGTCTGTTTCCGATCAACGTACAGCTTCTCATTCCTCCGTAAATCCCTATCTATTGGATATTCTTCTTCATAACTTCTCCTCCTCGCTTGAGGCCACATTTCAAATGCTGGTGGTGGATGTGGATACTCTTCCCTGTCCAGTCCATCATGGTGGAACCCACTCCTTGAGTAAACATTGTCTCTTGAGAACCGTTCATCAATAAATCTCCTATCATCATAAGAACCACCAACCCTACCAGAAAAAAATGAGGCAAAAGGAAAATACAGAAAGAGAAAGCAACAAAACAAAATGCATGGAGGAGCCATAAACTGAAGGGCCAATCGTTTTTTAATAAATAATATCCTGATACTTTCTTTCATGGACCATAATTTAAAGAAAATGAGATATCAAAGAGTAGTATGGGCCTTCTTTCATGGAGGTAAACTAAGAAGCAGAGTTACATAAATTAAGAGGAATTCAGTGAAATTCAAGAATCCTTTGCGTGATAAATATCTGTAAGCACTTACTGGAAATCAGGCTCATTTACTCCGCCATAACTCTCCAAAGCCTGTGGATTCAAGACAATAAGCTATGTCAGCAATTAATTATCGTGGTACATGTTAGGGAAATCCAATCCACATCCTCACTGTCCCATGGAATTCTTTGAATGATGTTTAAGGGCTGAAAATGGGAAAGTCTCATGAGCCTAGTTTCTTGTTTATCATCCCATATATGTGATTAGGAAGGAAACCACAATTACGCTGTTATTTTCCCATTCTTGCTGAGGGCAATATCGACCAGGATCCATTTCTGGCAAGAAGGCTGGTGCTATCCCTATAAAGTTGTACACGACTTTTTAGAAGTCTCAGGAGCAAGATGAATTGAACCCTATCCTGTAATAGATGCACAAACACAGAGTCATGCCATCATGAACTGAGAAGCTATCTTCATCAGATGGCCTACCCTTTAATGGACTCCTTAAAAGCAAATCTTCCCACGACAGTAATCTTGGTGTTTATACGCAAAGAAGTTACTTCAAGTAACCATATCAAGTAACACTGTAACACTACACTAATATCATCTGGCAATTCTGCAGCTTAAGAGGTTAATTGTTTAGAAATATCAGTTTGACGAAACATCAGTTTGACACAACATTTAATTGTTTGGTTCATTAAGCAAAAAATGCACCACATACATAAAAAATGTTAGGTAGCATGCATCCATGACTTCGTTCACTGACTATTGATGCATTGATGTTGCTATTGACTCTCCATGAAGATAATCTTGCTATTAATGCTGATGGTATGGATTCTGGAATAAGTCGTTCAATTAGTACATAAAAAACAAAGCATCAATGGTCCAGTGAGTACTTAAATCTTGATGACAGAATATTAACAGTGTTAAATCTCGACTATTGATGCTTTGTTTCCTATGTGTGATTGATGATGTGAAAGACTGTTAAAGTGTTAATAGCTTTAATAGATTGTCTATACGTTTAATATATGTTTAATGTCCAGCAATATTGAGGCTTACGTTTCAAACCACATTAAGGCTTATGCCAAGCAACAAAAGCGTTAATGCTTAAAAGAGTATTATTTAACCTTGGTTTAAATTGTAGTGTTTTAGCAAGAAAACAGCTAGTCAATTAAAATGTTGAGTGTTATCAACACTTTACCAGTTTGATGATTTTGAGAGATAGATGATGAAACTATTAATAGTAAAAAACATCCTCTCACAAATGCACTTAACTGAATGCAACGGAGCTGTACAGGATCAAGGTGTTTCATACCTATCTTTGAAGATTTAGTGCTAGTAGAAGATCCAAAGAGAGGTGTTTAGATTGGGTTTCTTTCATCAGAGATCTAAAAATTCATCAAGGTTACAAACATCTAAAATTTGTTTTTCATATCTGGGTGATTGAAACACGCCGTAATTTAGTGAGCAGCTAAGGCTGGAGGGAGAAGCTTAGAAAATGAATTACCTGGAACTAGATGTCGAAGAACGGTGACTTGCCGAATATGCGTCGAAACTAAAGCCGAACTGTTTTTGTAGAAATAGTTAAAGTTGGGCTCGAGTCAAGATGGAATTTTTACAGGAATACCCTCTTTTTAAACCCATATTATCAAAATGCCCCTTTTCTATTTTAAATGATAGAAAGAGTTTGAAAGAGTTTGAATACTCCTTTCGAACTCTTCATACAAATCTAGCGCATATGTCTCTCTCCATTCTCTTTCTTGCAGTACGCACTTCTCTTTGTTCCTAACGACTCCTCCTTTCATCTTTCATTTTTCTAAACTGCTCCTCCTTCAACCTTAGCGGCAACGTGCACTTCAGGTATCATGAAGGTCAAGAATCATACAATTCCAATGATTGAAGAAGATAGACCTAAGCGTAAGCGTAGGTTGGTAAAATTAGGGGAAATTAGCCCTTCTAAAAATGTTTTGAAGAAGTCTGACTCAAAGCAGAGTAAAGAAATTCAATGAAATAAGCTTGTTGTAGAAGATCCTCAAAAGTTGAATCTTCTTTCTCTAAGCAAAGAAATTAATTAAGGTAATTACCCATTCATCCGACCTAATTACATGTTTTTTGTTCTTACTTTGAATTTGTTTAACCATGTTTGAACGAGTTTGATTGTGTTTTTTACTATATTTTAATTCGAATATGAATTTAAATGTGTTTGACCTTGTTCTACCATGTTTTGCATTGTGTTTTTACCTTGTTCTACCGTGTTTGTACCAGTTTGACCTTGCTCTACCCTGTTTGACTGTGTTCGACCATGTTTGACAATTAATAATTAGAACATGTATTCTTGATTTATTTGTTCAGGTTCCATCCATATCTCCTATGGTGGACACTACACTCTTCCCAAACATGAAAATTACAATAAAAGTTCATTGGGGAAGTTTAAAGCACAAATGAAGTGTTGGTTAGGTGATCATCCCGACCTAATGAATCAGTTTAGGTCCACTATATTTGACAAGTACTTAGATGTACAATATGTCCCTACAACCATCCTTATGTGGCCATTACTTGGTAGAATAGTGGATATTGAGAGAACTTCTGAGGTGTGGTTTGTGATGAAGGGGGTTCCAATTCGCTACTCTCTAAAGGAGTTTGCTTTAGTTAGTGGGTTGAATTGCGCTGCTCTCGACAAGGACAATTTTGAGAATGATTATGATGAGGATATAGAGCCAATTTTATTGATACTCACTGGCCTTCTGTTTTTCGTGATTGAAGTAAAGATAAAGTTAGTTATAACACGATTTTAAATCGTTTTCACCAACTTTGTAATCATTTAAATCATCATGATAAAGCTAAAAAAGATGAAGCATGATCTGAAGTGATAAGAATGGCATCACTTGTGTTTATAGTGATGGTTCATTTAGCCCCTGCCAACAGAGAGAATTTCATTCCTGATTGGATCATTGCACAAGTCGGTAGCTACTATCTAGAATTTCCATGGGGTACATGGGCATTTATGGAGTCTCTTAAGCAGTTGAAGAAGAATTTAAAAAAGAAGATGGATGAGATTATGCATCAAGAGGTGACTCCAACATTATGTTATACGGGTTTCGTAACTCCGATATCGGTGAGGATACATTTATTTATGACTATTAAATTAGAAAAATAGTATTTGTTGAATTAAATATTATTTGAGTATATCTTTTTAGATCTTGTTGTTGGAGTGTGTGCCAGACTTTGCTGAAAAATTTGCTTTCAAGAAAAAACAGACTACTCCTATCTCTCCCCGCATTTGTCTTTGGAAGCCGGAAGAGATAAAGAAGAACTTGAATAACCAGGAAGTCCGGGAGATTGTAGAAAGTGTAAAAGTAAGTCATATTACAAATTTCATTCACTTCTCCATTTCAATGTCATATTGAACTGTGGTCAAACTTGGTCAACGATGGTCAAACATGGCTGTATTAAAAAAAAATCTAATTTACATGATAATTTTTTTACTCCTGAGTGTGCAGAGTATTCTTCTCACTGATTCTTTGGAGGCTTGGGATCTCACACACCACTGAATGGTTGTAGAATGTACGCTCTAAAGTTCATTGAGTTGGACATGCAAAAGAAGCACTATACCTGCCTTTATGGGATTACTACCGAAGACATTAGGCTACTTAGGCTTAAGATGGCATTTGATCTTTGTTTAGAATTTCAATCAACCTTACATTTATCTACATAGAATTGTTTTGTATGAACTCGTTTGTTATATTACATTTTAAATTGTACTGATAGTATATGTGTTGTTTAAATATTGTGATGTGGATTTGTGTGTAATTTTTTAATTTGAACATGGAAAAAGCTGGTCAAGCTCGGTCCAACATGGTAGAACCAATGGTCAATTTTGTGAAACCTGGTAGAACCGATCAATACACCCCGGTCGAACTCGGTCACACATAGTAGAACCATCAATTTTGTGAAACCTGGTCAAACCCCTCAATACAACCCGGTCGAACTCGGTCAAACATAGTAGAACCAACAGTCATAGAAACCCCTAATATCAACCAATTAGGTCACAATGATCTAAAATGCAATTCAACTATATGATGAACACGAATTGTAAAATTGATTATGATTTACTTAACATATCGATAAAATATGAATATTTGAACTTGTGTTTGACATGTTATAAGCTCCATTCATAGATAACTCTAATATCAACCAATTAGGTCATAATGATCTGGAATGCAATTGAACTATATGATGAACCGGAATTGTAAAATTGATTATGATTTACTTAACATATCGATAAAATACGAATACTTGAACTTGTGTTTGACATGTTATAAGGAAAAAATTCCACTTTTGGTCCCATGACTATTATACAACTTCCACATTTAGTTCTTTACTTTCAGATTGTCCACATTTAGCCTGTGACCATTATCCCCTCACCACCCATCGTCCTTCTGGCCAAAATTTCGGCTAATTTAGTCCACTTATCAGCCTCAAAATCAGTCTTTGCATTAAATTTTATATAAGGTTGGGTTTTTCATATCAGTCTTTGCATTAAATTTGGTTTTTCATACCTGAAATCTGCATTAAATTTGCCGGAATTTTGGCCGGAAGGACGAGGGGTGGTGAGGGGATAATGGTCACGGACAAAATGTGGACAATCTGAAAGTAAGGGACTAAATGCGGGAGTGGTATAATAGTTACGGGACCAAAAGTGGAATTTTTTCTGTTATGAGCTCCATTCATAGATAACCCTAATCCAACTAGGTCACAATGATCTGAAATGCAATTGAACTATATGATGAACCCAAATTGTAAAATTGATTATGATTTACTTAGCATATCGATAAAATATGAATATTTGAACTTGTGTTTGACATGCTATAAGCTCCATTCATAGATAACCCTAATATCAACCAATTAGGTCACAATGATCTGAAATGCAATTGAACTATATGATGACCCCAAATTGTAAATTTGATTATGATTTACTTAACATATCGATAAAATATGAATATTTGAACTTGTGTTTGACATGTTATAAGCTTCATTCATAGATAACTCTAATATCAACCAATTAGGCCACAATGATCTGAAATGCAATTGAACTATATGATGGACCCAAATTATAAAATTGATTATGATTTTCTTAACATTAAGTCCACCCAAACACAATTGTAAATATTCATATTTTATCGATATATTAAGTAAATAATAATCAATTTTAATACCCGGATTAATCAAATAAACCAATAATCCAATTTTATATATATTTTATCACCAAACACAACCCAGTTTGACATATGGTCAAACATGCATGATTTGACCAAGTTCGACAAGGTTTGACCATGTTCGACCATGAATGGACAACATTGACAGTTCTACCATGTTCTAATATGTTTGACCAGGTTCAATAGTAAACCGTACTATATATTATGGAACACAATAAATATAGAGAAAACACAATATATAAGTACAACAGAGATAACTAATACAAACTAAATTATAACTCATCTAGTGTCTTAAGAGTATAGTCATTAACTATTTTGATAGTAGGCAACTTATGTTTACAAGTTCTTAAGGTGAAAAATGCTAGAAGTACAAACACACTTACAAAAAAAACTTACAAACAAGTGATGTGGCTATTCTAATTACCATTGATGTAAAAGTGTTGTAAATGTGATGTGATGTTTTAAATAATGTGATGATGTCACATACTTTTTTTGTAAGACTTTTTGTAAAAGTTTTTGTACCTCTAGCATAACTCTCTTAAGGTATGTCCTTTCTTTTTGCACCTCGAACACGTCAACTGTCATTTCTTCCTACGCTCACCCACGGATGGAAATCTTTGCACCTCAATGCATCCCAATCGAAAACAACAATTTTTTATCTCCTTCAAACATGTAGTCTCCATTTTCATGTTTTTCCCATTCCCCATAATAAGCAATGTATATCAACTGGGTCGCCATCTGTGAATGTAAAGAATAGTAAATTATTCAACATAGTCAAACTAATTGTCAAACTTGTCAAAAATGTTCGAACACAGTCAAACCCAGTCAAACTTAGTCAAGCATGGTCGAACCTATCAAACATAGGGTTGGATTCGGTTCGGGTCCCAAAGATTCGGTATATACCCAAACCGAACCGATAGTTCAGTTTACCAAATTATCAGAACCGAAACCGAACCGTACTACAAACGGGTACCGATCTTTGGTACCCGATTTTTTCGGTTCGGTTTACCGGAAACCAAAAGAAACCAACAAAAGTGTAATAAATAAGTTTGAACTAACATTCAATTGACTAAAGCGCATTGGAACTTGCCAATATTTGAGCCCGATTAGCACAATGGAAATCCAGAACGTAACTTAGCTTCCTAGAACATATCTTGGCATTCTACACTAAGGGGACCTTATTTATATTGAAGTTTTGGAGTAGGAAGCTTCTCATTTTCCTGTGTGGGACAAGATTAAAGAGAATAGGAAAAGAGGCTGAAAAACAAAAAAAATAACCCAACTGCGGGAATCGACCACGCGACGTTAGAGAGAGGACAAACGCTGGATAACCAACTCGGCTACTCTTCAAGCACGTTCAAACCATACTCGGTTTAGTA